GAAAATGGACAAAATGGCCATTGATCGAAATTGGACGGGCCACCATTTCCAAATCGGGCCTCATCTGGGGAGTGTTTGAAGAGCTTTTAGTCACCATGTCATGTAGTTTGTGCCTGCCAAATGTCAGGTGTGTACGACGAACCCCCTAGGAGGAGTTCGATTTAGAAAATGGCCAAAAATGGCCATTTTTCAGCAAAAATGGCCCGGCATGCTCGCCGTTTTTCCAACATGGCGGATATCCTGTCGAGTTTACAGAAACATGCTAATGGACTTTTTTGTGCGTCACAAGTTGTTATACATGTGTAGCAAATGTAGTAGTTGTAAATCAAACATAACCCCAATGGGAATCTGTTGAAATATTATAGGGGGCGCCGATGAGCCGTGTTGCATTTTACAACTTGGCCCAGCCTGACTTTTTTATTCATCCTGGCCTGCTCTATATGTCTACAAAATTGCGTAGCTTTAGGCCAAATGTGCTTTTGACAATTTAGAAGGTGGCGCTGTGGAGAAATTTCTCTATTGAGGTGTGTATTGTTCTTCCAAATTATAAAATTTTTCACCGGGTCTGATGTACATGGCAATTTTGGTGAGTTTTCGAGTATGTTTAGGGCCTCAAAAACGCCTGTCTTTGGCACGAATAATAATAATAATCCGAGCAGTTCCAATAGGGTCTTCGCACCCTTTTGGGTGCTCGGACCCTAATAAGATATTATACACAAATGAAAACACCTCATTTAACATTTTTATTTTGAAAACTTCTGTAATTATGGAAAATATCTGTCTTTTAACAGGCAAATCTATGTAAAACTACCAAAAAATACTTGTTTTTTTGTTAATTTTTGTTCTGTGGATATATTTCCAATTTTAAACTTTAACTGTTTTATTTACTAAATAAAAAGATATCTGCAAAATTACAGTAATTAGGTTTTTTTTTTATTTTTTTCAAATGTTGTGGTTGTCTAAGTTTTAGCTTTTAATGTTATTTCAGATAGACTTGTAAATTCCCAGTTTGTTTTTGTAATTTCAGAGATATTTTTGTATGTTCAAAAATTGGGGAAAAAAATCTATGAAATAAAAAGGGGGAGAAAGCATAATTTAAGTTTTTTTTTTTACAGTGTAGAAAAAGCTGGGGTATTAGAAATAATAGTATTTTTAAATTAATAAACAGCTGCATGTACACACAGGTGACAAATTAAATGATAAACCAACATAGGGTGCTATAGTCAGGTGTTGGGCTGCTTCATTCAACCAGAACAGCTTCAGAGTACATTGGCATGAATTCTCCAAGTCCCTGAACTGTCTGAGAGATGCAACACCAACCTTCCAGAAGATATTCCCTCATTTGATGCTTTCATGATGATAGTGGTGAAGGCTCTCTAACATTGTTGTAAGATTCCCCAACTATGTTCAGATCTGGTGACACTGAAGGCATGTGATTGACCATGATGTCACCAGCTAGCATAGTCTGAACTCAAGGTGCACTTATTAGTTTCTTTTGAAACTTTCAAATGAATTTCAGATGATCTGGGTCCTGCCTAGCCCGAGCATCTGCAACATTATGGCAACTAACCAAAGTATAAAACTTACTTAAATGTAGACATCCACTGAAAAAATAAAAAACTACTTCAACCTTTGAATGTAAAACATATTTATCTGTATGAAACATTTCCACAGAAAAGAGAAAACCTTTTACTCGACAGACATTATCTGCCTGTCAATTTTCATTTTGGCCTAATGATGATACCACTACCGTGCACTCTGTAGTTATTATAATTTATATATCATATACATTTATGAATATGAATGTGAGTGTGCTTGGTTGTCTGTCTCTAAGTGTAGCCCTGTGATAGACTGGTGACCTGTCCAGGGTGTCCCTGCCTTCGCCCTAAGTCAGCTGGGATAGACTCCAGCCCCCCATGACCCTAGTGAGGATTAAGTGGTGTACAGATGATGGATGGATGGAGATGATGGATGGATGCATTTACATATTGCACATTTCAATTAATATTTTTTCTGATATTTTACTAAAACAGACAGCTCCTATATTTTAATGGAGTTGGTAAGAGTTCACTGATATTTTTCTATTTCCTAATTATTTTAATGTAATTTCTGTAATATTTCACAAACTATTTACATGTTGCGAACATGTTTCCAATGTCCTGCATATATGTGTATACAATGAGTGCTATATTATACTGATATCTACCCAGTATTTATATGCTGTTAACATTTATTTAATATAACATGCTGTAATGTGATTGAATAAGTGCAATGCTAATAACCTGTTCAGAGATATGTCACTACAAACTCGCAGGCTAAATGACACTTTGTAAACCATGATTTTTATTCAATATTATTCAGTGTAACATGTCACATTATCATATCCATCCAAAAGAAAAAAAAAATACTGTTGACAACAAGACTGACAGGGTTTGACTGACAGGGGGGGAAACTACAGCTGATTGTGCCTGCGAGGTTGAATAATGTTTGGAAAATGAGATGAAAAGGTCTCTTCACATTAGACAGAAAAGGCACTTTTAAAAAAAAAAGAAAAAAGAAAAAAAGCAGGTATACAGTAACAAAACACAGACTTGTCGGAGGTAGGATGACATGGATGGAAGGGCAAAACAAAACAAGCAACACAAAAAATATTCAGGAATAAAATTAAAGCTGGAAGCGTGTTTGTGGAACCCTCAACCGCTCATCACCATCCGGACGAGTTCTGCAAGGAGACGAAGAAACTCAACATCAGCATGAGGTGTGAAGCACGTCAGATAAAGTACAGACATCTGTCAGCCGCCATGACATAACGAGACATAAACAGCCATGACAGCAAAAACAGGAACTTGGAATGCATTACGATCATCAGCTCTACCTTTCAAAAAAAGAAATGAAAAGCAACTGGAAGAAAGACAGACAGAACAGAGGTCACAGATCTGGAAACAGAATAAAATACCAAACTGTAGCATGGATAGAGCTGGCAGCAGTGTAAGGCGACAGAACACGATTAAAAATATTTGTTTGCAGCATTTTAGATCATTGTGTTTTCCCTTTTGTGCACCCAGTGTCCAGGGTTTCTTTCAAAGCCACTGTGCAGCAACACACAGTAAGTTTATGATTTTAAGTGTGAGAGAGAAATACCAACACTATTTCTGCAGCACAACATCAATACAGCTGTAGCATGTGTAACCATTTGTATTCAAACAAAATGATCAGATGCAGACATCTGAGTGCACCATACCAAGGATGAAACTTACTGATTTATTGATTGCTTAGGAAATGTTACACAAGACAAATCTTCAAATGGCTTCTGGAACCCAAAGTTTTGCCTTCAAACTACTCTGAGCAACTGCACAAATACATTAAAGAGTTAAAAACACTAATCAGTGATTCATATGTAACAGAAAATAATCATCCATCCTGGAGAAACTGCAAGATTCCTTTTAGTGTTGATGATCTATTAACCCATTTCTTATAATTTTCCTGACAGTCAGCACACAGAGGACAGTTTTTACCCCCTGGCTGATTAAACTTTTTGTGTTTGAGTGGAGACAGTTTTGTATTACATATCTTGTAACTCAGAAGTCTGTTGCTCAGTTCTCCTATCTTAGTTTTATAACTTCAGTTTCTTCCTTGCAGCATCATGCTGAACTTTGTACTACTTTGACATCTCAGTTAGTCTAAGCATCATCTCAAAATTTACAACTTCTCACAAGTAAAAATAATGCTTTAAGGCATTTAATGATTTTCATTTTTTAAAAAACAAGTGTGCAGGGATGCTACATGCAGATGGGGAGTCGGGGTAGCAGTGCAGGAGAGAAAGGATAAGAGTCGAGAGTTGGAAAACGAATATTCATCCAGGTGGCTGAAGGATGCCCCAGCACTGAGGCAGGATATTAACAGTGGGGAGGGCTTTGCTGTTTGTTTGTTTTTAGAGATTTGCTCATACCCTCTGCTCAACCAGAGATGATGTGATGAACAAAAGCTGTGAGACACAAACACCGACTCAGTGAGCATGTGACACAAACACACAAGGTCTTGTTGTTTTAATCATTACCGGCGGTAGTGTTGTTCATCCACATATTTTCATGTGACACCGTCGAGTACGAGACACAGTGTGGTTTTGTTCTTAAGTCGTTTTTTTCATGTACTGATTTACCTTCATAGTTAATGCAGCCATTGGCGTCTTCGTGTCCTGCTAAAAGAGTCTCCACCTCTTCTTCTGTCATTTTCTCACCTGGAACACAATGAAAAACAAAGCATTTTAAGACACAACAAAGACGAACAGATCATCTAACAAAGGAGACAGCAGACTTGTTGATACAGATGACTGCCTGAAGCGTGATGAGCAAAGTGACGGATAAGCTGCGATTACCACATAATGACAGTCTTTGCATTTCCAGGTTCTCACCTAGTGTGGTGAGGACATGACGCAGCTCTGCTCCCATCACAGTGCCATTTCCCTCCTTGTCAAAGACACGTAGGCCTTCTACGATATCTTCGAAGGAGCCCTGGTCCTTGTTCTTAGCAATGGCCTGAAGCATGGGAAGGAACTGTTCAAAATCCAGCATCTTGTGGTTCATTTCTGCAGGGAACAAATGAGAGCATAAGAGGTAAGTCGTTTTATTTTACAATGCACCGGAAATCACATGCTACTGATTTGTCTGGATGTCAGGAAGCTTGAACAGGATTTAGAACCAAAGAATTGCATCTGATGCAGTTTTCAGTAAAGCAGAGTCTTTCCAGGCCCATTTAGTAACCAGGGACATCATAGCCCATTTGACAGTTGTGACATTATTCTCTTAAAGAACAAATACTACACCAAAGATAACAGATTGTTTGCAGATGAACACACCAGTTCAGAAGTCTTGTATGTTTTGGTTCAGGTGTGATTAGTCTTTATCTATATATACCCTCATAGCCTTCACACAAATACGTGCTGCTACCTTGTTGGAAAAAACTGTGCGAGAGAATGAGAAAAAAGTTTTGCATTGGTCTCCAAATGCTAATATTTTCACACACCAGTTTATGTCAACAGGTTTACATCTCAGAGGACCTTAAGTGTGGAGTAGATCTGCAGTTTTTGGTAGTCTTGATAATTACAACAAAAACTGCTGTACATCTCATATTTGAAACCCTTCACTTCTAATCAAGCAAACAAATCAAGAGTTCAGCACATGTGCTAATTTTGGAAGGCTGTAATTAAGGGATTATAATCACACACTCACTACAACCAACCAAAGTGTTAACCTAAACAATTATGATATAGTGGACTGAATTTGTCCATTTTAGTTGTGACAAGTGAATCCTACACTTGCCTTCTAACTTGGGGTTTCCCAGGACTTTGAGCACCTCAGCATTGACCGGGTTCTGCCCCAGGGCCCGCATCACGTCACCACACTGGCTGTAGGTGATCTTCCCCTCACCTGTCCGGTCAAACAAAAGGAAGGCCTCCTTGAACTCTGATAGGGAGACAGAGAAGCAGAACTCCGATTTAGCTGCACAGTATATGAAGTGAATGAACATTACAGACAAACCTTTCTGACAAACACAAATGCATACTCAGAACACCAAGGAGTTTTGAAACCTAAATATATTGTAGTCTTGTAATATTTGCTGCTCAAACCTGTTTGGGTGGTACAGCAGCAGATCTGTCTTAAGTTATTTTACAGTAAACACATGCAGTTAACACAGCAGCATGACAGAAGCAGCTCCTGACACTACAGCAGTGGTAAGTATCCAATCGTGATCACACATCAGAAGTCAGAACCAAATGAGCTGGTTGCATTTACACAGATGAAATTTCCCGATAAAAACCATTTGCGAGGGTATCAACTTACACACAGGCTTACAAGCATATATATAACTGAAAGGACAACGTGTTCCTCGGGCGGTATGTCTGCAGAAGCAGATCTTGGGATGAGCCCCAGTGAAGAATAGCTTGCTCTTGCACATGATTTCAAACTATATAAAAACAGATTAGCTGGTCGGTGTGTTATTGATATCAGATTGGAAACAGACACTGAAATATACTGTGTTGTGTAGACATAATCTACAAAACTCCTAATTTGTTCAGGCTACTCTCGTCAGTGTCAGCAACAGGAGAGAGTCACTGCTGGCAAGACTTCTGTCGTGTTAAACAACAGCACTAAACAGCTGATATCCACTCGGTGCTTCCAGTGCCTTTTGCCACAAACTATACATGTAACTTCAGTGCTTTTTGCCATACTTGCAGGGTATTCATGTATTTTTGTTAGGCTGTAACTGTATCTTAGCCTTAATATTTGTTATAATCAGATAAGGATGTCTTTTTATATAATTTTTGTTGGATTTTAATCATTAATATTTGAATTACTCTGGTGAACTCACAATATAGATACAACTGTGTTAATCTCAAAATGTCCACCTGTTAGGTAAATTTGTCACACCAACTTTATCCTTCTAGTCGAACGCACTTTGGCTCAACAGCTGTTTTAAACGAGGTATATAAACTACAGAGACGTGACCGGACGTGGCCTGTAAGCAAGTCTGGGCCACACACTGCAATGCTGAACGCAAACAGTAATTATGATGACTGTCGACTTTAACACATGTAGTAGGCAGGGCTGAACAATTAGTTGAATTTAAATGTAAATTTAAAACAATGCAACTAGCAAATTGCACAGGCTGCAGTTCAGGATGTTATACAGTGCATTTGAGGAAGGGTTTAAACTCACATTACAAATTCATGCTGTTGTGTTTGTGTGATAGTCACACTTCTGATGGTATCTCAAGTGGTAATGCTCTATCATCTATGAAATCTATCCCACAGAGAACAATGAATTGAGGCTTGACTTCTTAAAACAAAATTGCAAAATTATTAATTTTCAACATCTGAGAAAAAAAATCATTTTACATACATTGTCTAAATAATTCAGCCAGATTAAAATGTATATCTTTGCTATTAGCATGCAGACACACCAACATGCTAAATTACTGTTTTGCAGGTTAGTATATGATTATGTAGCACTCGTGATGAATTCAGGGTTACAATTATGTCCAGGTTGAGTCGTGACAAGACTTCAATCGACACACAAAGTGGATTTCACACTGGTAGAAAACATTAGGTTACTTCAGCTCAGTCTGTGATCACTGTGTTCATTTACCTGCACGGATCCAGTGGTCTGGAGAGATAACTGTCGAGCTACAGGGTCAGAATTCATGAAGCTAATTTAAATATGTGCCAGTTACGTTGCTGCGATGATGTGGTAAGAATCAGTAATGCAATAAACCAAATTAATTTTGCTCAAATATCAGCGTTAACTCACCCATGATCTGGTCCTCTGAGAAGTCAGACTGGTTGAGGCAGAGCGAAGGAAGAGGGAGGAACAGTGAGATGAAGCAGCCGAAAAAAGGAGCAGTTTATCTATGTGATTTATTGAAGCGTCTCCGTCATTAGAGCTAACGTGATTACAGTCAAGAAAAGGCTTGTAGCGAAAGGCTCGAAGCTAAAGCTGGAATGAGAGAAGCAGCAGGCCAACACAGACACAAAGCTGCGACTGTTAGCTTAACGCTACCTGCGTTAGACAGTTTCAAAATCTTACAATGAAGAAATTTACCATTAATTTATGTATGCATACATTAAAATTTCAAAAAAAATAATGTGGCAGAATATGTTGACTCACCATAGCTGTTGCGGGCGTTTGGATGACAGACGGCTGAGACGCTTGAACCTCCTCTGAGCTGTGAGGACTCCAGCTAGTTCCGGCCTGTCGTGGTACGTCACTGGTGATGTCACCATAGCTGTTATAGCAACAGCCAATCGCAGGCCTCGATTTCAGAGCCGCATTTCTGGCATATTTTGCAGGAGCTGCAGCTTCAGGGCAGAGGAGGAGCTGCACAGGTTTTACAGAGGCGGCCAGACTCAGAACATTACTCATACTGGGATGACACAATGTCTCCTTGATTAATTAATTTATTCTTTTTTTTCCCCCTAGTAAATCACTGTAGGCAAAATAATAATTTTTTTGGTCACTCACTGTTATCATTTGCTTATGCAGGCAAAGCTGCCATGAAGAGGTACACGAGAGCTTATCATAGTACAAGCCTTTACATGTACGCTTTACTTGAATGAAGTCTGGAGGTTTTGCTTAAGTTATGCTATTTTTAATTTTTTGACAAAGATGGTTAAACTTTAAACTACAAGAGAACAGTAGAAGTAAAACACTTTTGCCAAAACATGTGTCCTTGTTATTCTATAATACAAAACAATAAATAATACACATAAAAAATGTAAAAATATAGTTTGCCCACCAAAAAAAAAAATATCATTATTTGTGCAACTATTTGTGTCAGCACTGTTGCAACATCATGCATCTATCAAACAGCAGAAAAACAACACTTGTTCTTTTTTTCATGATATTTTTTTGGTTTTCATGCATGTTTTTGTAGGGCATAGATTTTTTAAATTGCTCAGGTTAATTTCAATAATCACTAATACTATAGATTGCTTTCCTTAATATTCAAATGAGTTAGGTTAAACCCCCTATAAAGTTGGGCAAAAGTCTAACCCCATCTAGACTATGAACACTTCATTCTATTCAGATTTATATGTAAATGTGCATAAACAGTGACAGCATGAAGCCACACTGCAGTGGGAGATCTGGTTAGGATGTTTGTGCAGACAAAACAATACTTTGAAGTAATGACAGTGTAATTTTATAATTTACAAAGAAATGTATCAGTCCAAAGAGTGAATCGTATAATATACAGCATACAGTAGTAAATACAAATCAATACAAAGAAATGTGAAATGAAAAAAAGTTTTTCAGGACTAACATTTTATTGTTGGATTGGTAATTTCATCAGGTGCAAGTGTTGGTAGGTCGACTTATCTTGCTTTCAAATTCATGATGATACTGTATGACTGTCTGAATATTAGATAATAAACAACTACTTGCATTTCATCCTCAAATGAAATAAAGACACTTGACGAATTCTATTGGAGAAAATATTTCTCTTCCTTCATTCTGTCTCTTCCCTAGCTGCCTCACCGCACTGAAATCGAACAAAGTCCAGCACTCGAGCCTGTTTGCCCCGGAGGAACTCAGCCACAGTCCTGCTGGGATCTGTCAGGAACGTCTGAGGCAGCAGGCGTGTCTCGCTTTCACCGCAGGGCAGGTCGTCCATGTTGCCCACAGACAGAGGAGCCTCTCCCACTACATGCTGTCCAAGCTTACGGCCTAAGTCTTCCTGCTCTTCCTCCTTTCCACCCTGAAACACAACCAGGGCGCCGTACCGACCCATGGCCACCTCAGTCTGACAGCTCATACTGCCATGAACGTACGAGCCGATGTGCCACTCAGCAGGAATCCTGACTGTCACCGCTCGCTTCACAGACATGTTCTCACCAAGGCGCCCTAAGGAGACAGACAGAAACCAGTTAAACAATGACAGCTACCTTTGATGCTAAATAATTAGATTAATTTAAAAACAGGTAAGTCAGTACTCACAGTTTTTTGTTATATCCAAAGATTTTTTTTGTCTTTTTTACTGATAGGTGACAAGCTGACAGTTTTGAATGAAAACGTCAGAATTTGCTTAAATTAAGTGATGTTTGATTCACTAGCAGTATTACAACTGACACCTAAGTTAATATGCAATTTTGTCAGCAAACAGTTGCCTATTTTTACAGAGCAACAGAATCGTTCACGAGTGTTTCTGGCCACCTGATAGGTCCAGCTCTACCTACTTGCAACAATAAATGTTTTAATGGTTAAGTGCTACACTATGTTCACCAGCTACCCGCTAACTGTGATCGTTTGTCGTTTGTTGCTGAGCTCAAAGTGGCTTGTTGGAGGTTTTTCATTGTAACTTGAGGACTGGACCACTAAACAATGAGCTGAAACTGCAAACATGGTTGTCAGACTGTCATTTGATATATTTTTGTTGTAAAAAAAATATGATTTTAGATTCTTTTTGGCAATGAAAACAATAAATTAGAATGAATGAAATCCTGTCCTCAGTCCAGATCACTAAGTTTTGTCTATTTATTTCATTGGTCAGTATGTCTGTGACTGTGAGCATAAGCACTTAGTTCATCTTACAGTAGTTGAAGACTTTGTGGAATAAACAGCTCTCCTGTACAGGATGCTAAATTTCAGCAGGACCAGAATGATGCTTTGTTACATCATTTCTAGTGTGTTAACAAAACACTAGACCCTTACATTTTATGTAAATAATTGGAGGAAGGACTTCAAAAGAAGTTAAAATCACTGCCTTGCTGTTGTACGCGTTCACCACCCTGTGAATTTGCAGTTTAAATCCATGTCTGTCTAGACTCTAAAACTTCAAAGGAATTTAATTGGTGGCAAGATTAGTGTCACCAAATCTGCATCCAGCCAGTGTGGAATATGTTCACAATCCCCCTCAATCTAACAATCTCATGGTGTTAGATGATAGCCAGAAAAGTGTTTTTGTCTAACATTAGGATCACACTGAAGCTGGCCTTCGACCTTTTGGATTAAAAACTACATCACGTCATTATTTTATCCTGTAAGACAATTAGTGTATAAATTCTACAGCTATGGCAAAGTCACAGAAATATTGACCTTTGACAACCAAAATCCAGTCAGTTCAGCAGTGAGTGCAAGTCACCATTGATGCCAAATTTCAATCAAAGCATTCAAGAGATTGTAGGTTCATGATGATCAGTTAAACACACAAAAACATAACACCTCTACATTAGTGGTTATAAAAAGAATATCGGCGAGAGCACAAGCTTTAAACAGAGTTCAGTGATTTAACCAACAACTAACTTTGTAAATGCTTGTTGATTACTACATGGAATACATGCAAAATGTTTACACTTCATACACAAATACAGAACGTGTACTGACCTATTGTGAGAGCCACCTGGTCAGCTAGTGAAGCTCCTTCACCCACACTGAGTTTGCTTAACTCATCACCTACCAGAATACTCTGAAAACAGAGACAAGTATGTTAACAAAGTCAAAGTAGAGGAAGACGGACAAAGGGCTGGTGCAGTCTGACATCCTGAGTCAACAGTTGTATATAATTTTCCATCAAAATAATGTAACATTTACCTCCTAGTTTTAAAATTTAATCTTTTCTAAACAGACTTTGGGTTTGGTACCACCGACAGGATGGGTGCGTCTGAAAGTATTAAAGACTCACTGCACCTTCAGAGATGCTGCATTTAGAAGATGTCAGACAGCAACAGTCAGATCTCCTAAAGAGCTTGTCTGCAGGTTTTTCTGGCAGTTGTGTAAAATCCATCACACGGCTATTTAATAAAACATGAACGTGGCATCATACGCTGCAAGCTGTGTGCACCTCTACTTTGTAATAGTTTAAGAATCCTCAATATATGCTTAAACTTAATTTTTGGCTTCACATGACCTCCATGAGCACTCTTGTCCTACAATGACAGCCTTATACAGCAACTGTGACGTGAGCAACACTTTACTTGAACAATCCTTTCTCCATTTAGTATAAATAGAAATAATATAAACATGGAATTAATACATTATAACAGTAAAATATAGTCGTGAGTATATATAGGGACAACACAAGTGTTGAAGTTGTACAGCAGTTTTAACCTTTAACCTGGCACATTAATCCAACAATACCTTAAAATAAATTTAGCAAAAATAAAACAACAACAAAATGCAAACCACTAATACAAAATGTCTCTTTAAATGAAATGTTTACATGTCAAGCTTTGAATAATGATTTCTACAGAGCAAAAACAAATGCAGACCAGTGATTAAAGAATCACAACACCTCTTCATAATGCGGTTTCATGAACACTGCATGCTCATAATAATCAAAAATAATTGTGGCTTAATTAATAAAGATGAAATAGGCTTTACAAGAACAGAAAATAATTGTTGAGACAAGAGATCTACAATATCCCGTCCCTTTATGTGACTATTTACATTTTTAAACAAAAGAAAATCTGATTATTTCTATCTCCAGCCCTCAGTGTGCATCTTTACCTTCACATATCCTGCCTGGTTTTGAGTTTTATTCCGATGGTGAGCCAAAGTGGCAAACGTCACGTCCTTAACCAGCTGCTGGAACTTCTCATTGCGAGCAACAAAGTCCGTCTCACAGTTCACCTGCATCAAACAGACAAGAACAAAGGCAGGTGACACCACTGACAGTACAACAAACTGGACATCAATCAATGGAAATAATGATGCTAATAACATCCTGTGCCTGTGGCCTCACCTCCACCATTACTGCAGATTTATCTCCTACAAACACACCGATCAGACCCTCTTTGGCTTTGCGACCTTCCAGCTTGTTTGCTTTGCTCCATCCCTCCTTCTGGGCCTGCTCGTGTAGCCACGACTCTGCCTAAATATATGGAAAATGACTTCAGTATCACAGCCACACAGCTTTCAAAGATGCATTGTTGTACCTCACCTGAGGGGATATAAAGATTAGGAAAGAAGCTTACCTGCACTATATCATTATCAAACTTCTCCAGAGCTTTCTTGCAGTTTACAAAAGTGTAGCCGGTGCTTTTCCGTAGTTTCATCAGGACGGCTTTCTCTGCTGCCAGGAGCTGACATCCTGTGTGTAGCAACTGTACATGCTGGCAGATGCTGACCTGTAGATGACAGATGGTGGACACACAGTTGAACTATAAACCTGCAGTGGACAACATTTCTTCTGTCTTTAGCTACTCAGGTGTACCAAACACTTGTCACATAAAATGCCAATTTGAAGTAAAATACCCCACAGAGATATAGTGCTATAAAGATGCTCAATTAGCATGAAATGGGACTGAGTTAACAAGGCAACTCATTGAAACTGGCCCATGAACACTGAAAGTTAAATCAGAAATTGAGGAAGCTAACAGCTAGCTATCAAACATGACACCTCAGGCTTTCACTAAAATATATTAAATAAAAACGAGGCTTCATCTTCTCACCTTTGCAGCGTCTCTAGTAAGTGTTCTGAATAAAAAGGTTAACGACATGTTCGCACGCTAGAGAAGTGAAATGTCTTATGAAAGCTCAGAATGTCATTGAACTCCACGCTGTGGACGGAAGCCGCGCAGGAACTAAACTGTTTACGCGAAGCTACTTATTGGAGTTGAGCGCCGCCTGTAGAGCAGGAGGACAACTGCGACCTACTCAAACACTGAGGACGCATTGTCTGTACTTTTAGTCGCTGTTAGATGTGATTTGTATGTGCTGCATTTGTTGATTTGATTGTTTCGTTTTGTAAAAAAAAAAAAAAAAAAAATTAAAGCAATAACGAGGCGTTGTTGTGATTTTGACACACAGGAGGCTCAACACAGTCCAACAGTGTTCAGATTTTAACCTGACAACTGAACCTTTATCAAGTTATTTCGGAATAAAAGTAAAACTTGTAGATGTTTTACTTTTAGACATTCCATCGATCACTGTCAGCATACACAATGTGAACCTGTTGGATTTAACTAAAATGAAAACCTATGAAAGGCTGAATGAAGGTTTTGTTACATTTATGTACATTTTTAATAACTAGCAGTATTTAATCAGCTACATTATTTTAACTCGCCCTGCTTTAACGTATTAATTACTACTTATGTTGGTCCTAACATTTTTGGGTCTATTATCCAACTCAGTCCAGTGCGTTGTTTTTTTTTTTGTTTTTGTTTTTTTGTATTTGTTTCATAGTATTTTGAAACATTTAAAGCTTTTTTATCTGATTTGTAATTACAGTGTGTGTATCTTTTATATTTTTTTTCCTTTATAAATGTATGATTTTAACATTTATTTTATTTGAACTGATTTATTATAGGCTCTTTTTGGGGGGATTTTATCACTTGTGCAGATATAGATCCACAAGTGGGATGTTTGCCATCTCTTTATTTGAAGTAATGAGGTCATTCCACTTTCCTTTAAGGTCAGTCCACCCTCCACATTAACATCATAGTGAGGCTACATAGACCAGTGTTTCTCAAAGTGTGTAACTGAGCTTCATTTCGCTTCATTTATATGATTTACCGCTAAAATAACATGCAAAATATATAAATATTTGTTTTTATGAATTCTGTATAACAGTAATTTGAATGACTGAGCCTCTAAATCAGGGGTGTCCAATCCTGGTCCTCAAGGGCCACAATCCTGCATGTTTTAGATGTTTCCCTCTTCCAACACACCTGATTCAAATGATGAGCTCATCATAGTGTCACTCCTCCAAGTATTTCATCTCCAGAATTAAAAAAAAAACAAAACAAAAAAAAACAACTTGATGTGATAGATGTTTTTCTTAAGTAAGCAGTTCAGAGTCCTACAATCAGTAAAATAACATCCCAACATTTTGATCAGTTGTATGTTTTTTTTTTGTTTTTTTCAGAAGTTTCAATGCATGACATCACGTCCAGCCAGAGCAGATTTCTTGGACTGAAGAAATGTAGTTCGTTATCACTAAATAATCTATTAATCATCTTAATTTAGATAATCTATTCAAATTCATAAAAACATGAAACAAAGACAATAGTTAAGCGGTTACTCGTGATGTGGGGTTTTAGAAACTAAACTCATGTCATAACAATCCAGTTGAACCCGGAAATGTACATATGTACACATAACTGGTTAGAATATGCTTCTGTCTGTCTTACGTCTTCTGTTAACCTAATGTGTAATTTGGGGCATGAAAATTCTACAGTCTCCTTTGGGCAAATCCCAAGACAGAGCCAGAACCTATTGTTTTGTGAAATGAATAGGTCTCTTTTAGAAGGAGCTTCAGTTAAAACCATTGATTATTTCAACCCTGTCTTTTTCCGTGTGTCTGCTGTGATGACCCCGAGGTCATCTTGAAGGTGGCTCTGCTAGTTTTTGTCTATTGGTTCTGCAAGTGGCTGCTTAATGTAATCAGGAGCAGCTGTTGGCCGCAGTGTGTTCCTAGGTTATTTAAGAGCCGGCTGCATTTGAATCACTCTCTCTGCTTCCCTCCACAGGTAACACACCAGCCTGGTTGTGGTGTTTTAATTTCTCTCTTTAGGATTTTGTTTGCATTTATGACACCTGCACAGACATGATTCACGCATACATCACACAGATCACTCACTCTGTTGATTATCATAACTCCAAACTGTTTAGGCTTTAATTTGAGTTAAGTTATTAAAAAAAAGCTTTAATATTATACTTGGCATCTCTCCTTTTGTTGTGGCCATTCTGAGCCGGGTCATAACATTACAAACCTGTAAAAAGATTACATGTTTGCTGTTCTACACTCTTTTATTTACTTTGCTATATACTATTTGCAGTTGCACAAGACATGTGACCTCAACATGATCAGGGACGCTGAGGCATGTGCGCTATTCTGGGTCATCTGGGTTATCATCAAACCTGCGAATTACAACATCTGGTAAAGGAAAGGCTACTAAAAGATGTATGACTGAATTAAATAGTTTTATGTATTACAGGATTTGATTTTCTTTACTGCAGAACGCAATCGATGACAAAACAGATATTCAAATTTCTTCTTTTTTTTTTTTTAAACAAAGTTGTAAAAACCCTGAAATTGTAATCGTAATCACAGCTTAAAAATGATACGGTTTTATTTTGACACTTTAAAGCGCCGTCTGTATACTAAGCAGGTGTGCAGTTTCACAGAGAAGAGATCAAACGTTTAAAAGCTCCTGCTTTAGAGGTCACCAAGTTCATCAACACAGTCCAACACAATATACTTGTTTTGCAGATCCATAAATAAATAAGTCAAAGGTAGTTTATGATTAAGAAGTTAAAATGCAGCAACATGTCTGAGTTATTCCATTTTGGAGGGCTACTTGCATGACTAAAAATGTTCTCGACACCAAAGATTTAAATGCAAATCTACAAAACTTTCCAAGCCACACTGTGGGGTTTGTTCAAACTTAAAATGCCCTTTTTTAACATGTCAATATGTATTAAAAATGGCCAGTACATTACAACCAACATAGGCCACCACTTATACATGTGTTGAACGATCAATCAATGTGCAAGTGTATTAGTCAAAAAACAAAGCAGCAATACATTTCTATACAAAATGATTTAATTTTTATTTTGAACAAATCCTACAGGGTACCTTGGGTCATTTTTGTAGGAGACTTGCATTTTAATTCTTGAGGGTTGAGACTATTTTCCACCCATGCAAGGAGCCCTGCAAAATCTAACAAACACTGTAAACCTAAAGTATCCAAAGAACGGTGACTAAAAAGACCCAGCAGGGCGTCCATGCAAGTTTTCACACATTTTGGAGTGTTTTTTTTTTTTTCCAACAGATTTGATGGTGATAGAGGTGACTGACATTCTGACTTGTGGGCCGGGTCACTTGAAAGTTGCTATAAAACAGGAGACGGTGATAACAGAGAGTTTTTCAGGTTGCTCCTGAGCCAAGATGAAGGTCGCTGCCGTCCTTGTACTCTGCATGACCCTGCTCTGTCAGGGATACAGCAGTAAGAGACTTTTCAGCCCTGTCGTCATCACAACAGTCTTTGCATCTTTAATGTAACACAGGTACTACCAGGATATGTTTGTGTTGCTGCCTGATTCAGTCTATGCTGTTGGTTTCCAGACAGCCTGGACTCATGTCGGAATCGCTGTGGTTATGGAACAGACAGCGGCTACTCCTGCCAGTGCAACACGGCCTGTGAGCGCTACGGAGACTGTTGTTCAGACTACGTTGCAGAATGTAAAGGTAAGTGAGAGAAAAGCTGCCAAGCACATGCTGTGGTTACTATATGTTTAGATTTATGTGGAAATTGTAGTTTTTCACTTATCAGATGTGTTTTTCTTCACTTCTAGATTCAGCCTTCTCCTGTAAAGGCAGGTGTAATGAGAACTACAACTCTCAGAACGAGTGCCACTGCAACTCCAAGTGTCCCCAATACAACAACTGCTGCAGCGACTACTACGACCTCTGTGACAGTAAGACTGACCATGTGTTACTGACTCCGGCTCACGTGCCTCACACTACCTCACTGCTGTCAGCTGCTCAGCTTCTGTTTGTGTTATTCCATCAACGAACAGCTACTCTGTTTATGACACCTGGACACCTTCACATGATGGACATTCAGTCTAAGGAGTCAGCAGTGAAGCTATGAGAACTCTGCTGCTGTGTTGCTCGAGCTTTAATTCTTAATCTGGAGTTTATTGAAATAACTTTCATATGGTAGTTTAGTACAAATTTTGTAGCGTGCATACTTAGTATTTTCATTCTATGCTACTTTATAATGTGCATTTAAGAGGGAACTACTGTAGTTTTTACTCCACGACATTCATTTGCCAGCTTTAGTTCCTGGTGACTTTTTCATTTTCGAATATGACAAATGAAAATCAAACATTTTGTCTTGTGGGACCCTTTGATATTTTAGACAGCTTAAAGTTGTCAGCAACACCAATTAAATAGATGGTTTAAAGTTTTAAATAACTATCTGAAGCCCAGTATTTCACTAAAGGACAACAATTTGAGTCCAAAAAGAAATGCCAACTGTCTTACCATTATTCCTCACAACACTCCTCAGATTTATCTTGCAACCCACCTCTGACTAGATTAAACTATCAAATCTTTTTTTTCCCTTTTTATTTAATCTTAATTTTACCAGGAGCGACATAAGGAACAATTTCTTTTTGACAGGGACAGTCTGGCCAGAAGAGCCAAGACACTGGAAGGAGGGAAAAAAACAGGAGACAGGAAGAAATTAAAGCAAACAAAACTAAAAGAATGACTAATTAATCGAACAGTAAATCAACAAAATACTTATGGTCATTAAAAATGTCCATTAGTATAACCTTTAAAAACAAGGATTTTGATTCTGAGTTTGTCCAGATGAATTGTTTTCATAGCATATTTCAATCATTACCAGCAGCTGACTGGAACAACAACAAACCAATAGACGTGCTGCATTTTAGGGCCTTTGCTCTGATATATTGTACTTGGTCATAAATGTCTGCTGTTGTAGCTGACTGAAATAAGGGGGTGAATATCCGAGAACAGTTTTGTAAATACATTTAAACCAGCGTAAATTACGGCAAGTGAGAGAGGGCCGCTTGAACAGAGTAAGTTGTGAATTCATAGCCAATCAGGTAGCAGAATTAAAAACTTTGATGTGTTCCTTTACTAGCTGATCTATAAACAGTATCCGTAAAATCAAACATGGGAAGTATGGTCATCTGAATTTATTTCTACATAGAAAATCAAGTTTTACTTTAAATTTTGACTGACATGGTGAGAGAAGGACAGCACACTGCATGTGAAGAATTTCAGAGTAGATGCATCTACTTTAAAACAGTTAGATACCTTTTGCCGTTGACACATTAGTATTAATATTGTCATTTGTCATAACATACCAGTATAATGTACAGTAACTGGTAATCTACCAGACGGGGACAGTATTCTGCTGAGTCAGAACTTGATACTTTAATGATTGCTTTCTTATTTTAATTTATGTAGGATTTGAAATGCAGGACCTCTACTTGAATGTGTTTTTATAATCTGGCATCGGTACTTTTACTCAAATAAAGGATCCAGCTTTCACTAGTGTGGCTCAGCCTCTCTTGGTCAAACATGTTTATTCATTGTATGACCAGCAGGTGTCACTGGTGTGTGAGTTAATATAGTGAAGCATGAAAAAAAGGATTTAGTTTGCGCTTGTCTTATCTTCATCTGCTGCCTCCATTTGAGCCGTATCCAGCTGGTGGAAGAAGTATTTAGATTCTTTAAGTAAAAAATGGCAATACTACAATGTAAATATATAGTCCACCATGGAAACTTAGTGTTTTATGATTTTTACTGATGTAGACAGCATGTTTATTGTGATGAATAGTGCAGAGGAGGTCAGTTGAACTAGTACATATACTGCAATGATTTCCAAAAATACAAAGAAGAAAATAAAATGTACTTTAATATCCAAGCGATTCACATTTTATTTTTTATGATATATATTTTTTTCAACTTATTTAAAATGAAAACAAGCAAGTAATGTAAAATAAATGTCGTGGAGTTCTATTTTTTCCTGAACTCTAGTGGAAATGGAAATAACCCTCATTTGTACTTTTTGTGATCTGCTTACTTCAGGTGCATTACTACATTAACATTAGTGTAAGACATTATCTGTGTGTGTGTTTGTGATGTCCTCCAGGTACTGGAGGAGGTGGCGGTGGTTCGATCACCGATTCTGAGATCAAGTCTCTCTCTGAGGCTCTTTACGCTCTGGACTCAAACAAGGCTACGTCCTCACAGCTGACCATCAACCCTCAGGCTCTGGTGTCCGACTCTGAGACCAGCTCAAAAAGAGATCTCTCTTCTAAGCCGTGAGGAGAAAAATTAATCAGCACACCACTCTCTCAGACTCTCATTCTTGATTCTTTTTTCATTTTTTTGCATATCTGTTTGTGCTTCCAGCTTGTTCAGCTACCTGGACGAGGGCACCCTCTTCTCCAGACCCACCTATGCTGCTCTGCTGGCCGTGCTGGACAACTACCACAGGATGACTGGGACGACGGAGGACTTCAGCTCTCAGCAGCTGACTGAGCAGGACACATTCATCAAAGAGACTATGTCCATGACCGAGGTGGGGAGAGAGCTGTTTGCTTTCCTCTTCACTAAAGGTAACTGGATCCTTTTGAAACAGGTTGTCTTGACACATCCTCAGCAATATTTCACTCCTGTTTATAGTGGATGTTATTCTTTATTTTAAGGGGTTTATGCATCAGAGGCAGAGTTCCTTCAGGATCTGAAGATGATGTGGTTCGGTCTGTACTCCCGCTACAACGGCAAATTGGACTCCAGCGGCTTTGAACACATCTTTGCAGGTTTGGACAGATTTGAACACATTTCTTTCAAACACCACAGATGTTTTCTTTGTGATTATTCATTTGTACATTCTGTAACAGGAGAGATCAAGGGAGGAAAGGTGTCTGGCTTCCACAACTGGATCCAGTTTTATCTTCTTGAGAAACGGGGACTTCTGAACTACTACAGCCACAGCTTCAACGGGCCTGTACGCATCCACAGCAAAGGTCAACGTGCTGATTTATGATGTGATATGTGCAGCACTGCCTTTATTTTTCTTTCTTTTTCTCTCAGTGGACTTCATATCCTGATGTCATGGGGATGCAGTTCATGTGGGACGGCTACTACAAGCAGGTCGGCTCTGCAGTCATTGGCTGCAGCCCTGAATTCGACTTTGCCATCTACAGCCTGTGCTACATCGCCCGGCCTGGAAAACAGTCAGTAAACCTGCATCTCCTGTAATGTCGATTTGTATGTATATCTGTTCTGATTTTATTTTTTTTCCCACATCCCTCATTGTCAGATGTCGTCTGAGCGTGGGAGGGAATGAGCTCATTATCCAGACTTACACATGGGATAATTCTTCCTATGGTAACGGGAAGAAGTACATCGCCTCAGCCTTTCCTTCATCCCCCTGAAACTGTCTGCTAAAGACAAGCAGTGTGCTCGTGTTTCGTCACACTTCTGATATCAAAATGTTTTAGAATAATTGACTAGATTCCCAAAGGAAGCACTTTTTTAATTGAGTGGTACTCCTAAATTTGAGTGCCGTTTTTTCGTCAAATAAAAAGTACAACATGACACAAATGTATCATGGAACCGTTTTTATTCCCTATATGCTGTAATAAAGCAGCCCAGAGCAAACAGGAAAACTGATTTATCTTCTAATGTTGGTTTCTTCCTGGTGTGCCACACTCTCTGGCCCTTCAGTCACATAAATAAAACAGTAAACCAGACCGTTGATTAATCTGCAGGAAAACCTTCCTGAGCAGAGCATGAGAATGCGGTGCTATCCCAGGGGCACGATCAAGCTGTGCCTAATGGGGCAAAAAATGGGCGTTTACACACCCCGAGCGGGCACAATGCTGACACTAACCCTTCAGTCGTACGAGCATGTGTGCCTTTGACACAATTACTTATTGTCTTATGTAACAGCAAAACAAAACATAAAAACAAAAACAAAATGCAATGCTTTTTTTTTCTTCCCAGAATGAACTACAGAAACAAAAAGACATTAACAGATCTTGTTCTGCTTGACCTGCTCTGAACAGTAGCCACCAGCTAAACCTGCTCTTATCAGCTGTCCATAAAACTGTGTGTGTGTAACTCCCCAGTGTGGGGTTAAGTGTCTGTGTGTGTGTGTGTGTGTGTGTGTGCACTTGTATGAATGGGTGCATCCTTATGTGTGTGTGTGTGTGTGTGTGTGTGTGTGTCCAGCTGGGATGGGGGTTGATTTTACTCTTTCACTCATCTAGGGTGACTAACAGGATAAATTCGGGTCTGCCGACAGAACAGGGGGACACACTTGCTGCCCTGTTTAAAGAAAGTATTACAGGAGATGGATCTGCCACTGATCCCATTGTCCATCAGTCTGTGTGCATTCATGCAAAACAAGAGCACAAGACCAGTCAGTTCGCAGGAAAACTCCAGCCTTAAGCGATTCATCTGACTCGGGCCTCACATGCAGCCAAAAGGGTTAGCCCAGGGTGGAATTTCTCCTACTAGTTTGTCCGACCATATTACATTTTCTGAGCTGCTGATTCTAGAAATTAGAAGAGTAAATCTTCTCTCTTTTCACGCTGCCCTCTTTTTAAAGCCCCAATGGAATCAAATTAAATCACAGTGGGGCAAATAAAAGGGAAAAAAAGATTCAATTGTTTCTTTTGTCACTCACACAACTTCATAATCAAATTATAGCTGGCCACCCGCCAGCGTGTCCTCGCATCTCCCCCAAATGGGCTTCTCCTGGCAGATCTCATGAGCCACCTGACTTTTGTTTTGTAATTATATTATCCCGCTCTCCCTTTAGCGTGTTGCGGCTAATGGCTGAGCGGGCTAGCCCAGCTGCACATGCAGAAACAAAGCTGCTTATGGGCCCAGACAATGGACCCGTGGAAAAGGGACGCCTGAAGGCGGTCAGCCAATGAGCACGCACAACAGGGGGCCAACAGAGGGTTTAGGAAAGGGTTAAGGGGGTTTAGGGGTTCAGGCGGAGGGGGGTTTCGTTTTGCCCACTGGTGGGGTCTATCAATGAGATGGTTAGTAGAAGGACACATGGTCAACATCACCCCTGTCTCCCCAGGGTCGGTGCTGGGCTGGAGGGAGGTTCAAGTTTGGCTTAGATGCCGGCCATTTCTAAAGTTGATGGGGGACCATGAAATGCAGAGCAACGTTCATTCTCTGGTGTTTTTTGTGTGCTTTTCGAACAATTTGATGACCGTATTGCCATTGCTTTTACCAGCGGTATAGATTCTGAAGGGGATACAGACATGTGCAGAGTAAGAGATGCAATCTTCGTCCACTGAAGTGACCTCAGACTGTCGCTGCAGTGAATCTGTATCAGAGGCTTCTGCTATTATATGAAATAAAACTTTCTGATTGCTGCACATGCAATTTATCCTCAACCACGCACACAAACACACACAAACACACACTGCTCACGCTGCGGTGCTGGCATCTCTCTGAGGACTTCCACTATGACAGATGGACGAAAGCCACTTTCCCCCACTGTCACACACAGAAACACTGGGGATTCAGAGAAAGGTCATGTTTGTGTGTGTACTGGAGTGAAGTTTTATCTGTCCTTCATTTTTTTTTTCTTTTTTTTTCTAATAAACTAAATTCTCGTCTCACAAACGTACCTAGAAAAGGTAAGGAGGGGACGGTCCTCTGAGCATGTGAACATGCTGAGTGAGCTGAGCAGCCAGTGGAGAATAGATGAGCATCTGAGCCACAGACTGTTAAAATAAGAGATGTGTTTAAGCGAAGACCATCTGCAGCAGGACTTCATCATGTGTGGCCAGCATGGAGGGACCAGGGGACAGCATGGCATACATACCGTATTACACTTGAGCACTACTTGTGGAACATAAAGATCGGGTGAAATGCTGTAAGTAGGCCACACGTTAAATAAAAGTGATAAAGGAGCTTAAATAAAAGAATAGTTTTGTCATGACAGATGTGTCATTTTGCAAGTTGGGACGCACCTCAAAAACAAAATAATGAATTGATTTTACTCTATTTTATTGTTACAAACTGTGTTATGAGCGTATGCAACGGGGACACAAGGCCACAGCTATCATATTCCCCCGCCGGTTCCACTCTGGGGATGCAAGAGGCCCGACTCTGCTATTCCCATCTCAGGCTGCAGGTGTGGAATAGGACAGGAAAAGATGCGGGGGCGGGGGAAGCGGTGGGCAAGGTGGTCGGCTTGGGAATGAAGAGGAAGTGAGAGAGGCACATAGCTGGGGTTGGCAGATTACCCTGTAACCTACCTTAAGCCTCTCCGTTAGAGCATGTGCAGCTCTGTTCCTGTGTCTCATATATTCTCTCTCACGCTTCCCAGTTCAGAAATACTGAGTTTCCTTCAGATTTCCTTGATATTAACTTTAGAGAATCTTTAGAGGATTTTGTGAGGACATCACCATTTACATCTGCCTCCAAATCTGTAATTAAAACACCCCACGTCTTCATTTTTACTTGAGAAACAATCTGACCTAAATACATTTTTATGGTTTTTGTGGAACATTCTGATTTGAACTCTTGTCAATCTTTTCATTTATTTATCCATGATAACTGGATTAAGTGTGTTCAGTTCCCTATTTTAGTTTTGTTATATACAGTATTTGGGACTTATATTGAACTAAAAAAAAAACCAACAAACTACTGGTATATAATAACACATATGTGTTTCGAGTAATTTATAATGGTAGAATTAGAATTATAAGCTTTACTGTCATTATAAAGCAGTGCAAACACGGTCTACAGTAAAGAGACATTCTCAACACAGATAAAACATTATGACATTCTAAAAATAAATAAATATGCAAGAGTGTTCGAGTGAGTTAAAGTGCTAGGTGTGGCAGATGTTATGTAAATGCACATATAAACAGTGTAAACAGTCCAGTCAGCTGTTCTTCAGCTTGTGTGTTAGTGTGCATTAGTGTGTCATTAGGATTGTGAGAGTGGGAGACATTTGTCGAGTTGTTTCTCAAACAAGAACAATCCTGTTTGCCCAAGAAAACAAAACACTGTTTTGCTCACAAGATCCACTTACAGGAACGTGTTCAGAACTTAAAGTCACATTTTATGGTCTTTATCACCAGCAGTCAATACACACTGTAAGATTCACACTGAACCCTTCAGTTTGTCAGGCATTTGGAACCAAAAATATGTCAACTTATCAGAAAATGTATTTAACATATTATAAAAGTCTGTAATGAATATCAAAAAATATTTTGCACATATTCTTCCTTGGGGTCCAATGGACCCTCAAAGACCTTCTATGTATGGCACCATGTAAGTCCTGAATAAGGGTTAAAGGTGACGATTTGCTAAAAACCTACCAAAACCCCAAACCTTTAATACAAAATAGCTTTTTAAATGGGGTGCAACTTATCAGGTATTTATAATGCAGTCTTCAGATCTCTCCACAGAAAGTTTTACCACCATTAACAGCTTGAAACATCCCTGACCTGATATTTTCACAACCATTCACACCTCTAGGAATGTGAATCCTGTGGTTTTGGGGATAATATATATGTAGGACTTCCAATAAGTCAGTTAGAACTGAAGGAGTCTCTTGGATGTCTTCAAGAACTTAAAAGATAAATCTAGTTGCCTCCTACTGAAGAGTGTTTTTATTTTAGCTTTTAGAAAATGCTGACAAGCAAAGACACTCATTCAGGGTGTCCCACAAGAAACATTGATTATTTGTTAAGATGCTAAGCTTTAAATCCAGAAGCCCAACACCTTCATCCTGCAGGGAGGAGGAGGGGGGGAGGAACGAGTCCCTGTTGCACGTTTAACTGCGCACTTCATGTGACCAAAGTTTCCCCTTCTGGTCAGAGCGGCCTCCTGGGTGACATGAACTTGTTCAGCAGCATATCTCGGCGGTGAGGAGGGGATGGATGGCTGGAAGAAGGGATGGCGCAAACACCTGCTCACATGCAACTTCAAGCTGTCACATACAGTTAGGCTCATTCGCCTGAGCGCGTCTCCCCACCGCTCAATTGCGAACTTGCTGCGGATTTTGGCGGCCAACAAAGAGCCTGGGCCTCTGCTGCTTGCCTGTCTGGACGGAGCTTATGCACATCTCTCTGACACACACACACACACACACACACACACACACACACACACACACACACACACACACACACGCACGCACGCACGCACGCACGCACGCACACGACTAGTGGAGCTCCAGGGTGCTCGAGCCACGGGCCGGCCACGCGCGAAGCTGGAGCGCGTCAGGACGGAGGAGGAGCTTCACCGCGGAGGTTAAAACCCGGAGCCCCCGCACAGTGACCCGCACTGAGACACCGTGGAACCAGCCCCGCAGCACCGAGCTCCACGACTGATTGATGGACTGAAGAGACTAAACTGTGATCGAGGACAAATATCATCTGACAAAAGTTCTTGAGGCTGTCCCGGAACGCACTGGTATGTCTCCATTCCACTCAGTTCTGAGCGCATGTGTGCCAATCTGGCACAGTTTAGTTTTCAAGGCACAACTCTTTAAAAAAAAAAAATTGGATGGACAGATTTGGATTCTGACACAAGTGTTTTGTAATATAGAACAACTACACATAAAAGGCACCGCATATATCTAATGGAAAATGTGAAAAGGAGTTTTAAATCATACTTCAATCGGTATTCATGGGAAATAAACTGCTCAGTCGCGCAATTCCTAGCGAGACATGAGTGTTGGTGCCTTTAAAAATGTCTATTTCAATTCAATCTGAGCCCTCTGTTAGGCTACTGATCTGGGGGATGTCGATCTTTCATTTAATCCCATGGTCGCCGCTTCATCCACGGAGTAAATCCTGCGATGCCCCAGATTGAAGTCCTGACAGTGACTTTATCTTGCCGGGGCATTACCAGTTCACAAGTTGACCGGGATTACCCAGAGAGAGAGGAGGAGGAGGGGGGGTAGAGAGACGGGTTGAACAGATAATGCTTATATACATATATATATATATATATAAACAACAAAAAACATCTAACCATGGCAGTGTTCATGATAAATGTATGGAAGGAGACGTTTTTGTGCCAAATAGGAGGCACCTGTGGCTGAGGAGCGCGTCAGGAGGGAACTGTCCGGTGCTGAAAGCCTTTAAAGTCTGCTGACAGACGCTGCTCACAAAATAATTAGGTTATTATTATAGTTTTTAACTGCTGAATAAATGCTTGGAACACCTGGCTGCAGTTTACATCCTTTACATTGCCATAACCAGGAATATAGGGAAAGTTTTTGTCATGAAATACACCTCCTCAGGCACCAGAAAGAAGATCTCAATATTTGACTTGTATTTCTTTGAATTTGATTAACAAGTAAATAACAAGCACTGTTGCCTCGCAGCAAGAAGGTCACCGGTTCACGTCCCGGTGGGGGCACTGGGATCTTTCTGCGTGGAGTTTGCATGTTCTCCCCGTGCAGCGTGGGTTCTCTCCAGGTTCTCCGGCTTCCTCCCACAAAGTCCAAAAACATGTTGAGGTTAATTGGTGATTCTAAATTGCCCATAGGTGTGAATGTGAGTGTGCTTGGTTGTCTGTCTCTAAGTGTAGCCCTGCGATAGACTGGTGACCTGTCCAGGGTGTCCCCTGCCTTCACCCTAAGTCTGCTGGGATAGGCTCCAGCCCCCCGCAACCCGAGTGAGGATTAAGCGGTGTATAGATAATGGATGGATGGATGGAAGTAAATAACACTTTCCGTCACACTGTCCTCTACCTCACTGACTCCTTTTTTATTCTCCTGGTCTAAAAGTACTCAAATAAAAACATAATGAGTTTTAAAATACCTGCAGCCTGTAATATACCAACTTTGTGAGTGCTTATTTGTAGAAAAAATCCCCTGCAGGTGGATAAAAAAGCCAAATCAAAGCAAAAATTAGTAATGGTGAAGAAAGGCAAGATAAACCGCCACTCTACATTGGTTTATGAACAGTTACCAGATAGTCAAAGTAAACTTCACATTTTGGTTCTTTTCTGCGTAATCTCCATATCATTACACACTGGCTAGACTGGGACACTTCCAGGCAACTTCAAGCAGAAGTAGGCCAAGAATCTGCAACTTACAAACAAAGGCCGTCAGGTAGAAGTAGCAGAAACCTCCATAAATAAACAGTGTTTAAAATGTGAAGGTAGAAATGTATTATTGGTAATATGTAGCTGCAAAAGACTTCATTATGGCTCTTTTTGTCATCCGACTGGATCATTATTAGTAATATTTTTCCATGTATATTGGTATTTATTGTAACATTTTATTGACACCGCTTGAGTTGATGAGGTTGTTTCAGTGGAATAATGACAATAAATATTTTTTTTTATCAACTCATGTGTTTGCATGTGTATGCATATGTAGTGGAAAGTATCACAAAATGGAAATACTAAAGTATAACTTCCTGAAATTGCATTTGAGGAAAAGCACAATGCTCACCATCACTGTTCTTCGTCTGTGGCTGTAAGTGTAGTCATGGGTGAAGAAGGGTTTTCTTTGGTTGAAAACCTGCACAATCTGTTTATGGCAAGAAGCTGGCCATCATTCATTTAGAGTGATATAATGCAGTGGCCCTTACCAAGACTGGGTGTGTTTCCACCACAATGGGAACCCAAGCTAAGCTCTAGTGAGATATGCAGCATGATATTTTTCATAATGTCCTGAGTAATGACAAAATGCGGAGATCACAAACGGCAGTAAAGACAGATTAACAATATGAAGGACTTACTATTCTGATTGAAGCCCTGAAAGTATATTATGCAGTAAGTTGTAGTTTCATTGTCATTTCAGTAATATCCAGCTCAATGTCCCTTCAGGATCGTAGTGCTTCATAAAACAATGCAGAAATTCATGAGACTACACAGAACTAAGTCTACAAAACCAAGCACAGGACGACATAAAGTGTACATGTGCAAACATGTGAAAGACGTTTATGAAAACAGGACAGCAGCCACAATGAAGGACATTACAGCACTGACTAGTCTGAATGAATTCTAGTGTGCAAAAAGATATCACTATACAATAGTGCAATGCTGTAATTGTAAACACAGCATTCTGGTGAATACAGTGTTAACAGTGAGAATTAGTTAAGATGTTTAAGCAATATTTTAGGAAGAAAAGTGCAAAGAAAAACTGCAAAAGGAGGAGATCTGTGTTCTGTAGGAGTGGAGTAGAGAGCTGCTGAGGCTGGAAGGATAATAGACTAGACTCTGGGTATTTAGAAGTCTGATGGCACAATTTGGCTTGAGTTTTTCAGTACATTTTGCCAAATGGCAGGAAACCGAGGAGTTTGTGTGACGAGTGCATGAGGTCATCCAAAATGTTGGTGGCTTTGCAGGTGTAAAAGATTCCAACAGTGTCAACAGTTTTTTTTTCTTTTTTCTGAAATGTAAGAAAGCTACAGTAATAAGAATAACTTGTAAACCTGTCAGCAGTACATGTGTGGTAACAAAGATGTTTTCTTGTCTTGTTTTCTTGCTCAGACTACCATGATGATTAAGCCGTACGTGAGACAAGGGGAGGGAGAGGAGGTCGTCAGTCCTCTGCAGTGGATGGACGGAGACATGAGTTCACCTGATGGAGACACATCCGTCCCATCTCACCGCTACAGAGCAGGAGGAGTGATTCAGCAGGCCAGGGAGATGGGCAGCGAGGATGCAGAGGAAGACGAGGAGGACGTAGAGGAAGAACAGGAGGATGAAAATGAGTCCAAGCGCAGAGGCCCTAAGAAAAAGCGTATGACCAAGGCCCGGCAGGAGCGTTTCCGTGCACGGCGTGTTAAAGCCAACGCCAGGGAGCGCTCACGTATGCACGGCCTCAATGATGCACTGGAGAACCTGCGCACCATCATGCCCTGTCACTCCAAAACACAGAAACTGTCCAAGATCGAGACGCTTCGACTGGCCCGCAACTACATCTGCGCTCTGTCCGAGGCTCTGGAGGGGGGGCTGTCCACGGAGAGCAGAGCTTTCATGGAGACGCTGTGTAAGGGCCTCTCACAACCCACAACCAACCTGGTTGCTGGCTGCTTACAGCTGGGACCGGCTTCTGGGGCTGGGATGAGGCCTGAAGACAGACAGGGAGTTCGTCCTCCACCTCCTCCTCTGGGCGGCATGGTGAGCTACTCCTCTCCAGGCCTGCCAAGTCCCCCATACGGCACTTTCGACTCGGCTCACCTGCTTCACCTGAGGGCGATGAAAGGAGGGCCATACGAGAATCACTCGCCAAACGAGTACAATGCTGGTGGTGTGGGAACCCCTCCATACGACGGACCCCCCACACCTCCTCTGAGCATCAGCAGCAACCTGGTGCCCAAACAGGAGCCTTCGCCCCACTACCCACCTCCTCACCACTACTCCCCCTCCTCTGTGGACCAGGTCCTGTATCAGACTCAGACCGGCTATGACGTACACTTAGAGGGTCAATATGACTCGTACCATCCACCACACATGCCCCCCCGACAGATAACCTCCGTCTACAGAGACTAAGAAGGATCAGAAGAGTCAATTCTGCCTCAAACCATCAATAAAACCTGAATGACTGAGGCAAGTCTTTGATCCTCCCTGAACACTGAGTGATGTCTTGTAGACCAAGGATCGATCTCTCTCAGTAGACACACTACCAATAGAAGAACTGTAGAATTTCTTGTTTTTTTTTGTGTTTTTTACATGTGTGGTGCACTTGCACAGTAGACTAGCACTGCTCAATATTGTTAATGTTAGAAAATACTTGACTGAAACCAATAAATTTTCTTCAAAACTGATGAACCAAATGATTGAAGGACCTTGCAGGTCCTATCCAAGAAATGTTGCTTTGGCCATTTTTGACCAGTTGCCCTAGTACTGTAAGATAAGCACTTCTAATTTAGCTTTGGTAACATCACATATTCTACATAAAGTATTTTTTATTTATTTGTTAACTTAATACAGTATATTTGGAGTTTGTCATGATGTATCGGGTTTTCCTTTTGTATATATTTGTAGTGAAGGCATCTCTTTGTTTGCTCTTTAGACTAATAGTTAATCTCTTATCCTTCTTTTGTGTCCAGATTCCTTTTGTTGTGTTACATTTCATGTTTTGCACTCGAAAACACACTCAGAGGTAGATTTGTGAGCATGAGGCAGCTGATCTCTTGCAGGAGCTGAAAGGGGAAATGAACATGTTTTGATGGAAAATTTAAAACCAAGTGAAAAATAATTGTGGACTTTACATGAGGGATGATGGTAAAGTAGCAAAAAAGTCATATTTCTCAGGTTAACACTGGAAACTTTGGATATGTTGTTTTTTTTCTTAGTCTTTGATTTTTGTTTTTATTGGAAAATGGATGTTATTAAAATGTTTAAAAATAGAATCAAGTCAGTGTATTGTGTTTACTTTTA